TTGGGTGGTCGGAGGGGGGTGGGTGGTCGGCAGGGGGGCCGAGGGGATGCAGCTCAGGGGAAGGGATTCAGCCAGGCCCGAGGGATGCAGCCCGGTGGGAGGGATGCAGGTGGGCCAGCAGGATGCTGCCCGGTGGGAGGGAGGCAGCCAGGCCAAAGGGGAGGTGGGAGCCACTGGAAGTGGATGTGGCCGAGCCAACGGGATGCAGCCCCACGGAAGGGATGCGGGGTGGGCCGAGGGGATATAATCCAGGGAAAAGGATGCAGCCAGGCCGGGGGGATGGAGCCAGGCAGCAGGGATGCAGGTGGGCCCAGGGGATACAGCCCGGTGGAAGTGGATGCAGCCCGGCTGAAGCAGGAGCCGGGAGGAAGGGACGCGGCCAGGCCGGGGGATGCAGCGCGGTGGGAGGGCTGCAGGCGGGCCGGGGGCTGCAGGAGGGCCGAGGGGGGCTGCAGGTGGGCCGGGGATGCTGCCTGCCGAGCCGGGAGGAGCCCGGCAGAGCGATGCGGCCGGGTCGGGGGATGGCCAGGGGATGACGGGGGGATGGCGAGGGGATGGCGAGGGGATGGCGGGGGCCGGTGCCGCGGCCGGGCCCCCCCCGCTCGGTGCCGGCAGGAGGGTTCGGTGGTCCCGGACCCAGCTCGGGGCCACCTGCAGAGCGCGCAGCCTCACTCGGTTGCACCGCAGCGCCGCGGGGGAACCCGCCGCGGCCCGGGGGGGGTGGTGATGGGGGGGTGTTGATGTTGGTATTGGGGAGGGGGGGGAGGGGGGTTCGGCGGGCCCGTACCTCCAGGGTGCGGATCTCCTTCTGCGTGAGGTCGTTGGAGGCGGCGCACTTGGTGCGGAGCCCCTCCAGGTTGGAGATGCTGATGTCGATCATGTTCTGGACCAGCTCGCACTGCTGCAGCGCCTTCTGCAGACTCAGCTCCTGCTCCTCGCTCCTCGTCATGTTGTCCTCATCCATCGCTCGCCGCGCCCCCCCCTCCCTCCCCGCCCGCCCTCCCTCCCCTCCGCCCGCCGCCGCCGCGGCCCCCCCTTCCCTCGGCTTCCCCGGCGGCCCCCCCGGCGCTCAGCCCCGCTCCGCCGGGCCCCGCAGCATCGCGGTGCCCACCGAGCCGTCAGCGCGGCGCCGCCGCCGCTCCCCCCCCCACCGGGCGCGGCGGGGCGGGGGCGGGGGCGGCGCGCTCCGGCTCCGCGGGGCCGCGCTCGCTGCGCGCCGCTCCGCGCGGGAACCCCCCGCACACCCCCCGGCCGCGGGCACGGCACAGGCCCCGGCACCGCCACCCCCGG